CCCTGCCCCCCCCCTGCACCGTCTGCGTTCAGAGCAAGCTCAAGCAGCAGCCGCACCGGAGCTCCCCCTCCGCTGCTGCGCAGCCACTTGATCTTGTTCACATGGACCTATGGGGCCCTAATCCCTCTCCCACTCGCCAGGGCCATCGCTACCTTCTCGTGCTTGTTGATGATCACAGTCGGTACTCGTCCGTCTCTCTCCTTCGGACGAAGGCGGATGCCCCGGTTGCGATCATCGCCTGGCTCGAGCGGGCAAACACCCATTTTGGGCGCCCTGTTCGCCGCCTTCACTCTGATGGAGGTGGTGAGTTCCTTAACAACCAAGTCTCCTCCTATTGTCAGTCTCGTGGCATCCTTCAGACTTACACCCTCCCTCACTCCCCACAGCAGAACGGCGTGGCTGAGAGTCGTGTTCGAGAGATCACCAAAACAGCCCGGTGTCTGCTTGTCCACGCCTCCTGCCCCCCTTCTCTTTGGGGCTACGCCCTCCTTCATGCCGCCCTCCTTACTAACCTTTACCCTCACCCCCTTCTCCCCTCCATCACCCCCACTGAGCTGTGGACGAAGGACAAGCCTGATGCCTCATCACTTCGTGTCTGGGGCTCTAAGGCACATGTCCTCATTCACCCCTCTGACCGCTCCCGTTCCATGGGAAAGCTTGCCCCTCGTACCCTTCCCTGCATCTTCCTTGGTCATAATCCCTCCTCCCCTGACTACCTTTTCCTCCACCCACCATCCGGTCGTCTAATCCGCAGCCGGGATGTGGTCTTTGACGAGTCCACTCCTTACTACTCCTCTCCCACATCTACTGACCCACTCCCCCCTCTCACCCGTCCCCTTGTCTGGTCTGACACCACCCCTCCCCCACTACTCCCTCCTCCCCCCATCCTCCCACCCCCCCCTTCTCCGCCGTCCCAGTCCCATGGTGCCCCTCCCTCTTCTGGTGACATCTTTGATCCGGAACCTCTGTCTTCTCCTGTCTCCCCCGCTCACTCCTCTCCTAGTACCCCTCCCCCCCCCCCCTTCCTCTCCCTCGCCACCAACCCGTCCTCCCCCTTCCCGCACCATACTCACCCGGTATCCCCACACCAGGTCACGTGACGGTATCCTTGGTGCACCGCCTCCGGTTACCCTCTCTACCTCTACCCTCCCCCCTCTCTCCCCCCTCCTCCGTCACTTCTTCCAGGCTGTCTTGCATCAAGCCCCTCATGCAACAGCCCCCTCAGCCACCTCCTCTCCAGCAGCGGCACCAGCAGCTGAACCAGCAGCGGCAGCAGCAGCAGCGCCAGCAGCCGCAGCAGCAGCAGGACCAGCAGCGGCAGCAGCAGCGGGAGCGGCATCGGCAGCAGCAGCGGGACCAGCAGCGGCACCAGCAGCGGCACCAGCAGCAGCACCAGCAACAGTACCAGCAACAGTACCAGCAGCGGCACCAGCAACGGCACCAGCAGCGGCACCAGCAGCAGTACCAGCAGCGGCACCGGCAACGCCTCCACCAGCAGCACCAGCAGCGGCACCAGTCATCCGCGCCTTCCACACCTCCCTCTCTGAGGACTCCCATGAAGAGTTCCTTGACCTCCACCTTTATGTCCCCTCGCTTCTACCCATCACGTTCGACCTCTCTGGCACACCTGTCTTCGCCTTCTCCTCTGCTCCCTCCATTTTCGTTCCTACCACGTACCAGGAGGCAATGGTGTGCCCTGACGCTCCGCTATGGCTCGCCGCCATCATCAAGGAGCTGGAGGCCTTTATCGGCAACTCCTCTTTTGTCGATGTGCCTCGCCCTCCCGCCCCTACGAACGTGGTGAAAGGAAAGTGGGTGTTTCGCGTCAAGCAGCTGCCAGGGGAGCCGCCCGTTTATAAGGCTCGTTACTGCGCCAAGGGGTTCACGCAGCGGTATGGTTTTGACTTCTTCGATACCTTCTCCCCTACTGCCAAGCCTGTTACTGTTCGCGCCGTGCTCGACCTCGCCGCTCGCCTCAATATGGAGATCCACTCGATGGACGTTTCTAACGCCTTCCTACAAGGCGTCCTCCGCGAGCTTATCTACATGGAGCGTCCAGCCGGCTTTCACCTCCCCTTCCCAGCAGACTCTGTCTGGCAGCTGCGTCGACCGGTGTATGGGCTCCGACAGGCCCCGAGGGAGTGGCATGCTAAACTTGCCGCCACCCTTGCTGAACTTGGGTTCCGCACCTCCCGCTCTGACGCCAGCCTCTTCCTCCGCACCTCCCCCTCCCCATTTTACATCCTTGTGTATGTCGATGACATGATTCTGCTCACTGCCGACCTTGGAGAGTTGGAGCATGTTAAGGCTGAGTTGGGCACCCGTCTCAAGTGCAAAGACTTGGGAGAGCTGCAGCATTATCTGGGCATGACCATCACCCGGTTGCTCCGCCCGCACCATCTCACTCTCCCAGGGTCATTACTTGCAGCAGGTCTTGGAGCGGTTTGACATGGCCCGCGGCGGCGCCCAACATACACCTCTTTCTGTCGGGCACCACCTCTCTCCACCCACCTCCCCCTCAGCCTCCTCCCATCCTTATCCCGAGCTCATCGGCTCCCTCATGTACGCCATGGTCTCCACTCGCCCTGACCTTGCCTACCCCATCAGCGTCCTCGCTCGTTTTGTTGGCGCAGGCAAGCATACGGAAGAGCACTGGCAGGCCGCCAAGCGTGTCCTCCGGTACCTTCGTGGCACCAAGGACTATGTCCTTACCCTTGGCGGCCCCTCCCCACCTCTTCTCAGCGGCTACAATGACTCCTCCTGGGCTGATTCCCGGCCAGATCGTCGCTCCTCCCAGGGCTATGGCTTCTCTCTTGGCAGCGGCCTTATCAGCTGGCGCTCCACCCGCTCCTCGGCTGCAGCCCTCTCCTCCTGCGAGGCGGAATTGTATGCCGCCACCATGGCTGCGCAAGAGGCCCGCTGGCTCACCTTCCTTCTTGAGGAACTTGGTGACCCCAAGCGCTGTCCCACAATTTGGTGTGACAATGCTAGTACCATTCACCTCACCAAAGATGCTGTGTTTCACGGGCGCTCCAAGCACATTGAGCTCCGTCATTTCTTCATTCGCGATCTTGTTCAGGCGGGGCACCTTCGCCTCGACAAGGTTGACTCGGCGGCCAACCTTGCCGACATCTTCACAAAAGCTCTTCCTCATGCCGCTCACTCTTTCCTACTTCGTCTTCTTGGCCTCACTCCTCCTAAGTCGCCTCCCGCCTCTTGATTCTAGCCTTCTAGCCTTATGCATGTTGGGGGGTTGTGTTGTAATTTCATATTTCATACAACATACATAGGCTAGAAGTGTAGCACATTTATAAATTGGGGGGTTGCTTAGTGTACCCTCCAACCACATTTTGTGGTTGGTTGGGATTGGTCCTTAGCTCAACCAATCCCAACCAACACACATTTGTGGTTGCTTGGGTCACAAGCAAGCTCACCCATTGGCCAACTTATTGGCCAATAGGGTAAGCTTCCCTCTCATCTCTCTCTTGCTCATTGTTTGCACTAAAGAGCCTCTTGGCTCATTAATCAATGTATCAATTCTCTCTCTTTTAACACAGCATTCCCATGCCCTACACCACACACCCTGAACCTCAGCATTCCCATGCCCTACACCACACACCCTGAACCTCAGCATTCCCATGCCCTACACCACACACCCTGAACCTCAGCATTCCCATGCCCTACACCACACACCCTGAACCTCAGCATTCCCATGCCCTACACCACACACCCTGAACCTCAGCATTCCCATGCCCTACACCACACACCCTGAACCTCAGCATTCCCATGCCCTACACCACACACCCTGAACCTCAGCATTCCCATGCCCTACACCACACACCCTGAACCTCAGCATTCCCATGCCCTACACCACACACCCTGAACCTCAGCATTCCCATGCCCTACACCACACACCCTGAACCTCAGCATTCCCATGCCCTACACCACACACCCTGAACCTCAGCATTCCCATGCCCTACACCACACACCCTGAACCTCAGCATTCCCATGCCCTACACCACACACCCTGAACCTCAGCATTCCCATGCCCTACACCACACACCCTGAACCTCAGCATTCCCATGCCCTACACCACACACCCTGAACCTCAGCATTCCCATGCCCTACACCACACACCCTGAACCTCAGCATTCCCATGCCCTACACCACACACCCTGAACCTCAGCATTCCCATGCCCTACACCACACCCACCCTGAACCTCAGCATTCCCATGCCCTACACCACACCCACCCTGAACCTCAGCATTCCCATGCCCTACACCACACACCCTGAACCTCAGCATTCCCATGCCCTACACCACACACCCTGAACCTCAGCATTCCCATGCCCTACACCACACACCCTGAACCTCAGCATTCCCATGCCCTACACCACACACCCTGAACCTCAGCATTCCCATGCCCTACACTACACACCCTGAACCTCAGCATTCCCATGCCCTACACCACACACCCTGAACCTCAGCATTCCCATGCCCTACACCACACACCCTGAACCTCAGCATTCCCATGCCCTACACCACACACCCTGAACCTCAGCATTCCCATGCCCTACACCACACACCCTGAACCTCAGCATTCCCATGCCCTACACCACACACCCTGAACCTCAGCATTCCCATGCCCTACACCACACACCCTGAACCTCAGCATTCCCATGCCCTACACCACACACCCTGAACCTCAGCATTCCCATGCCCTACACCACACACCCTGAACCTCAGCATTCCCATGCCCTACACCACACCCACCCTGAACCTCAGCATTCCCATGCCCTACACCACACCCACCCTGAACCTCAGCATTCCCATGCCCTACACCACACACCCTGAACCTCAGCATTCCCATGCCCTACACCACACCCACCCTGAACCTCAGCATTCCCATGCCCTACACCACACACCCTGAACCTCAGCATTCCCATGCCCTACACCACACACCCTGAACCTCAGCATTCCCATGCCCTACACCACACCCACCCTGGTCCTCCTGCTGCTGTGTCCTCAGTCGCTTCATCTCCTCCCACTGTGCCCGCGCCCTCTTCTCCGCCTCCCCCTCTGCATCATCCTCCTCCTGCCACACACACACACGGGGGGAGGGGTGAGTGACGATGGTGGAGGCAATGTCCTCATGAATCTCTGTGAGGGGTTTTGATGGGTGTGTTTCTAAGGCTGCCTCTCTGCCTCTGCTCCTTTTCATCCAAGGGGGGGGATGAGAGGGGAAGGGAGAGGGGTTGTTGTCATCCTGCATCGCCCTTAATGTACCACAAACACAGGAGAAGGTGTATGAGCGACGGACGGTGGATGAGAGGTGGGAGAGAAGGGATGGAGACACCATGAATGCAGGGAGTTGTAACTTAAAGGGAAGCTCAACACTACTGGGCATGGAATGAGAGCAGCACGCACCATGAGCCCATCGTGGGTGCTGCCTCCTTCTAGCCTCTCCCCTCCCACACCATCATCCTCATCCACCTCCTCCCAATCACTCCCCGACCCCTCCTCCTCCTCCTCTGCTCCTCCCTGCTCACCCCCATCCCTCTCCTCTCCCTCCTCCATCGCCTCCTCTCCCTCCTCTCCATCCTGTCCCTCCTCCCCGTCCTCCTCTTCCCCCTCGCTCTCCTCCTCGTCACCACCTTGCATCCATGCCGCCTGCAGTTCAACAAGCAACACCGTATGTTAAGATTACTTAGCCTCATGCAAACCTTGAGGAGCTTCATAAAACCCTCTTGACAAGCTTGCAGCGACGAATGTCGACACCAAACAGCCACGCAACAAGAAAAAAGGGGGAGGGGGGTGTCGGAGGAGGGGAACATGGATTAGGCAGCAGCGCATAACAAACGGAAGACGATTGATTATCAATGCAGCGTAGGTGTCACTCCCTGACGCCTCAGAAGATAAATACCCTTTACAACGGTATCAGAGCATCACAAAGGTATCAGAGCACACCTGGTAACTGGAGGTTCCTTTCGGCACCCGAATGCGCCTGGCGCCACCCTTCCCCTCCTTCCCTCCTCCCCCGCCCAGGGCCTTGCTCTCTGCTCTCTTCCTCTCCTCCGCCTCTGCTGCTGTCATTTCCTCCTCTGTCGGCCACGTCTGGTAGGGGGGGTGAAGGGGAGGAGGGAAGGCATGTCCGCTGTGAGAATCACATGCAATCTGCGCTGCTTACAACTCTCCCTCCTCCTCCGCCTCTGCTGCTGCCATTTCCTCCTCCGTCGGCCACGTCTGGGTGAGAGGGGGGGGGAGGGGTAGAGGGAGAACCGGAAGGAAGGAGGGCGGGGTGCAGGAAGACGGGGATGGGGTTGTGTGCGGTAAGGTGAGGAAGGTTGACTCGGCGTGCAAAAGTTTACACCTAGTCTGCTGTGCCACCTTGTCTGGTGTGGGGGGACCCCCGTGTGATGTGGCGCCCGCCCTACCCCACCAACGGTATGTGAAGCGGATCTTTGGTCCCTCAACTCAACTCAACGTGCCGTGTCACCTCACATGCTCTCGTCCCTCTGCTCTCACCTCTTCACCCGCACCTGTTCGCCGGCCAGTGGATCAGGTGTGTTGAGCACCATAAGGGGATCCCTCAGCTCCCCACAATGTGTCGTGTGTCACCACCCACCTACCCACCCATGTTGTAATTTCATATTTCATACAACATACATAGGCTAGAAGTGTAGCACATTTATAAATTGGGGGGTTGCTTAGTGTACCCTCCAACCACATTTTGTGGTTGGTTGGGATTGGTCCTTAGCTCAACCAATCCCAACCAACACACATTTGTGGTTGCTTGGGTCACAAGCAAGCTCACCCATTGGCCAACTTATTGGCCAATAGGGTAAGCTTCCCTCTCATCTCTCTCTTGCTCATTGTTTGTACTAAAGAGCCTCTTGGCTCATTATTCAATGTATCAATTCTAGCTTTCCAACATGGTATCATGAGCTATTGGCTCACGCCTTGATCCCTCGGTCCTTAGGCCACCCTCTCCTCCCCGTCCCTCAGACGTAGTCCTACTACGGTGCTCCCAAGCTCAGATTCACTCCTCCCGAGCTCACATCTCCTCCTCCCGAGCTCCGATCTACTCCTCCCCAGCTCAGATCTACTCCTCCCGAGCTCAGATCTACTCCTCCCCAGCTCAGATCTACTCCTCCCGAGCTCAGATCTACTCCTCCCGAGCTCACACCTCCTCCTCCCGAGCTCAGATCTACTCCTCCCGCGCCCTGCTCTACTCCTCCTGCCCTCAGATCTGCGCATTTCGCGCTCAGATCTGCACATTCCGCACTCAGATCTACTCTCCCGCGCCCAAATCTGCATTCCGCGTGCTCAGATCTGCAACTCGCACGCCCTTGCTAGTCCGACCGCGCGCCCTGGTCGTCCGCGCTCTGCTCGTCCGCCCTTCGCGTCCCCGCCCTGCCCGTCCGCACGCCCTGCTCGTCCTCGCCCTGCCCGTCCGCACGCCCTGCTCATCCGCCCTTCGCGTCCGCGCCCTGCCCGTCCGCGCGCCCCAGTCATCCGCACCCTGGCCGTCCGCGCGCCCTGTTCGTCTGCACGCCCTGCTCGTCCGCGCTCCAGTCGTCCACACTCTCCCCGTCCGCTCGTTGCACGCCCTCCTTCCCCGCTCGCTGTCCCCCTCCCCTCATCCGCTCCTTCCACACCTCCCTCTCCGAGGACTCGCATGAGGAGTTCCTTGACCTCCACCTCTGTGACCCTTCCCTTCTACCCATCACCTTCGACCTTTCTGGGACACCAGTATTCGCATTCTCCTCTGCTCCCTCCGTTTTCATCCCTACCACGTATGAGGAGGCCATGGCTTGCCCCGACGCCCCACTCTGGCTCGCCGCCATTATCAAGGAGCTGGAGGCCTTTGTCGCCAACTCCTCCTTCGTTGATGTGCCTCGCCCTCCCTCCTCTACGAACGTGGTGAAAGGGAAGTGGGTGTTTCGCGTCAAACAGCTGCCAGGGGAGCCGCCCGTCTATAAGGCTCGTTACTGTGCCAAGGGGTTCACGCAGCGGTATGGTTTTGACTTCTTCGATACCTTCTCTCCCACTGCCAAGCCTGCTACTGTTCGCGCCGTGCTCGACCTCGCCGCTCGCCTCAATATGGAGATCCACTCGATGGACGTCTCTAACGCTTTCCTCCAAGGCGTCCTCCGCGAGCTTATCTACATGGAGCGTCCAGCCGGTTTTCACCTTCCCTTCCCTGCAGACTCTGTCTGGCAGCTGCGTCGCCCTGTGTATGGGCTTCGACAGGCCCCGAGGGAGTGGCATGCTAAGCTTGCCGCCACCCTTGCTGAACTTGGGTTCCGCACCTCCCGCTCTGACGCCAGCCTCTTCCTCCGCACCTGCCCCTCCCCGTTCTACATCCTTGTGTATGTCGATGACATGATTCTGCTCACTGCCGACCTTGGCGAATTGGAGCGTGTTAAGGCTGAGTTGGGCAGCCGTCTCAAATGCAAGGACTTGGGCGAGCTGCAGCATTACCTAGGCATGACCATCACCCGCGACCGCTCCGCCCGCACCATCTCTCTCTCCCAGGGTCATTACTTGCAGCAGGTCTTGGAGCGGTTTGACATGGTCCGCGGTGGCGCCCAACCTACTCCTCTTTCTGTCGGGCACCACCTCTCTCCACCCACCTCCCCCTCAGCTATACATGGGCAAACGAGTCGAGTTTTTACTAGACTCGTTTGAAGTACTCGAAAATAACGAGTTTCGAGTTCTGATTTTGGTAAAAAAAGCTAGTGAAAACGAGTCGATTTTTACTCGCGAGTTTAAAAAAACTCGTGAAAAACTCGGCTAGACAGGCGAGTTACCCATAACTCGCGAGTTTTTTTTCACTCACGAGTTTTGTTTAACCTAGACGAGTTTTAAAAAACTCGTGCATCAAATGGTCCACCACAGGGGGGTACAAATGTCTGTTTCTGGGTTAATATGCTGCTGGAGGTGTGGCTCGCTGTTTTGGATGTGTTCCACCACTTAATTGTGAACACTAGTGCAGCTGGCGTGGCGGTGAGTAGCTTTTTTGGAAAGTGAAAGGGGGGAGGAGAGGTGGGGCTGGCTGGGTCGTTTGTGGGTGTTGACGCGTGTGGCAGTTTTCTGGGCACCCTACAACTGTTTTCGTGTGGCTAGGGTTTTAGGTTAGGGTAGTGTTTAACTTCGAGTCGAGTTTTACTCGACTCGGACGAGTTTTTTTAAGGCTCATCCGAGTTTCCAAAAAACTCGACTTTGGGGCCGAGTTTCGAGTCAGCATTTTGACCAAAAAAACTCGACGAGTAAAACTCGACTCGACTCGTCAAAGGGAAAAAACTCGTCAAAACGAGTCAAGTAAAACTCGACTCGCCATTTGCCCATGTATACCCTCAGCCTCCTCCCATCCTTATCCCGAGCTCATCGGCTCCCTCATGTACGCCATGGTCTCCACTCGCCCTGACCTTGCCTACCCCATCAGCGTCCTCGCTCGTTTTGTTGGCGCAGGCAAGCATACGGAAGAGCACTGGCAGGCCGCCAAGCGTGTCCTCCGGTACCTTCGTGGCACCAAGGACTATGTCCTTACCCTTGGCGGCCCCTCCCCACCTCTTCTCAGCGGCTACAGTGACTCCTCCTGGGCTGATTCCCGGCCAGATCGTCGCTCCTCCCAGGGCTATGGCTTCTCTCTTGGCAGCGGCCTTATCAGCTGGCGCTCCACCCGCTCCTCGGCTGCAGCCCTCTCCTCCTGCGAGGCGGAATTGTATGCCGCCACCATGGCTGCGCAAGAGGCCCGCTGGCTCACCTTCCTTCTTGAGGAACTTGGTGCCCCCCAGCGCTGTCCCACAATTTGGTGTGACAATGCTAGTACCATTCACCTCACCAAAGATGCTGTGTTTCACGGGCGCTCCAAGCACATTGAGCTCCGTCATTTCTTCATTCGCGATCTTGTTCAGGAGGGGCACTTTCGCCTCGACAAGGTTGACTCGGCGGCCAACCTTGCCGACATCTTCACAAAAGCTCTTCCTCATGCCGCTCACTCTTTCCTACTTCGTCTTCTTGGCCTCACTCCTCCTAAGTCGCCTCCCGCCTCTTGATTCTAGCCTTCTAGCCTTATGCATGTTGGGGGGTTGTGTTGTAATTTCATATTTCATACAACATACATAGGCTAGAAGTGTAGCACATTTATAAATTGGGGGGTTGCTTAGTGTACCCTCCAACCACATTTTGTGGTTGGTTGGGATTGGTCCTTAGCTCAACCAATCCCAACCAACACACATTTGTGGTTGCTTGGGTCACAAGCAAGCTCACCCATTGGCCAACTTATTGGCCAATAGGGTAAGCTTCCCTCTCATCTCTCTCTTGCTCATTGTTTGTACTAAAGAGCCTCTTGGCTCATTATTCAATGTATCAATTCTAGCTTTCCAACAACCCACCCACGTGCTCTCACCTCTTCACCCGCCCGCTCCCTCACTACCGCACCTGTTCGCCTGCCAGCGGATCGAGTGTGTTGAGAACCACAAGGGGATCCCTCAGATCTGCACTCGACCGAGCCAACACCCTCACTCCCCCCTCCTCCTCCTCCTCCCCCTCTTCCTCCACTTCCCCCTCCTCCCCCTCCTCTCCCTCCTCTACCTCCATTCCCTCTTTCGTCGTCCCCCCTTTCTTCTTCTCCTTCCCCTTGCTCCCACCGCCCCTCCCCCCCGGCCTCCCATGCTCGCCAGCAGCACAGGGGTCGGGCACTTGGTCAATCTGAGCCAGCTGAAAGTCGCCCACGCCTGTAATGTGCACCTGCACAGGGAAAGGAAAGGGGGGGAGTGGGAGAAAGAGGAAAGAAAAACGTGAGTGCTCCCCCAGCAGCACTGGGACCCAGCACCTGGTCAATCGACCTCACCGCCTCATCCTCCTCACCAGCTGGTTCACGTTGATCCCGTGGCCACGCACGTAGCCCACCACCCGCAACGTGCCAGTGGATGCTGAACGGCTCTTGCACTGATGAAGGCCTGACGTGACGAAAATGATCCCCGTACGGACCGGAACATGTTGCCTAGTCAATAGAGCTGTTCTGAGCTTGTACTTTCGCGTTTTACTCAAACTTTAAAGGGTTACGATTTTTTCTGGAGAGACTTTTGTCTTTTGCTAAGACATCCCCTCCTGCTGCTGCTCTTCTACATGGCAAGCACTGACTCTCCTCACCAGCTGGTTCACGTTGATCCCGTGGCCACGCACGTAGCCCACCACTCGCAACGTGCCAGTGGCTGCTGCAGCGCCTGTGTCGGCTGCGCCGGGGATAAAGTCAAACTGGCGGAGAGAGAGGGAGAGGGGATGAAAGAGGGAGAGGGGATGAAAGAGGGAGAGGAGACGGGATGAAAGAGGGAGAGGGGATGAAAGAGGGAGAGGGAGCGAGCGAGGCCATGGGCTAGCGAGATGAAAGGAGGCAAGGAATTTTATGTCCCGTGTGCGTGCGTGCGTGCGTGTTTGTGTGCGTGCGTGCGTGTGAGTGAGAGAGAGAGTGCGTGGTATATGTGTGTGTATGTGTGTGCGTGTGTGTGTGCGTATGTGTGTGTGTGTGTATGTGTGTGCGTGTATGCGTGCATATGTGTGTGTGTGAGTGTGGGTGAGTGTGCGCACGCGTGTGTGATGGCAAGCACACAAAATCCTACATCGTGTGCTACGAGGTACAGGCGGTGCGTGCCCCAGCCAGGAGTGTGTGAGGGTGGCTGCATGCTTGTGTGTGAGGGTGGCTGCATGCTTGTGTGTGAGGGTGGCTGCATGCTTGTGTGTGAGGGTGGCTGCATGCTTGTGTGTGTGCGCACTGGTGCAGAGATTAGAGGCTCACATTGTTTGCCACAAGCAACGGGCGGTGTGTGCGCCAGCCAGGAGCGTGTGTGCGCCAGCCAGGAGCGTGTGTGCGCATGCGTGCTTGTGTGTGCGCAGTGGTGGCCACATGGCAAAGGCTCACTCACATTGTGTGCCACGAGGTACGGGCGGTGAGTGCGCCAGCCAGGAGTGACGGGACGATGCTCCGCTATGTGCCGCACCACCTGCAGCAGGGTTGAGGGGAGGTGGATAGGCGAAGAAGGGTTGAGGGGAGGTGGATAGGCGAAGAAGGGTTGAGGGGAGGTGGATAGGCGAAGAAGGGTTGAGGGGAGGTGGATAGGCGAAGAAGGGTTGAGGGGAGGTGGATAGGCGAAGAAGGGAAAGATTTCAGACGGCCAGAAACAGGATGGGAGAGAATTGCATCAGGGCAGGGTGAGTTTGGACTGATCAAGGAGAAGGCTCATAACGGACTGTTTCCCCCTCCCCCCACAAAAAATGAAACGGAAATAGGATCTTGCCGCCTCGTAGCGTTCCCTCCCTTTCATTGACTCACCGGTGCCATCTCAGTAAGAGAGTCGACTCCAAACACATGGCAAGTGCCTTTAGGAAACTCCCCTCCCAGCACCGCCAGAGCGCCCTTCCTCTGCTCCCCGTGCCTCTTCCCCTCCCCGCCCCCTGCCTTCTGCTGGCCCTGCTGCTGCTGCTGACTCAACGGGAGCATCGAATCTCTAAAAAGAGCAGATGCAGAGGAGGATGGAGCAAGCGAGGAGGCGGCGAGGGAAGAGGAGGAGGCAGCAAAAGCCGGAGAGGAGAGGCTGGAAGCGAGGGCGACCTGGAGTGGCAGGCCCTGCGCCCGGGCCACAGAGAGGGCTGAGCGGCCCCAGTCGTCAATGTAGGCCGCAGACGAAGGGGAGGAGGCGGAGGCAGAGGATTTGTTGGTGGTAGTGGTGCGCAGGGAGTGAGTGTGGGAGTGTGAGGTGGCATGGGTGTGGAGCGAGGAGGTGGAGAGGGCTGACGGAGTGGTGGGAGGGAGGGGGTCGATGGGGGCGATTGTAGATGCGAAGATTACCACGTCTGCGATCTGGGAGTGCGGAGGAGGAGGGGGTGGGGAAAGGGGGTGAAGGAGGGGTAGAGAGGTTTAGGAGGTGATTTTTTAGTCAACCAAATTGTAGATGCAAAAATTACCGCGTCTGCAATATGGTGGGAGTGGGGGGGGGGGGGGGGGGGGAGGGTTATTAATGAAGGAATAGAGGGCTATTACTTATAATGGGACCGGGTTCTTGTGGAAATAATGATGATGACTTTGGCAGGGGGGAAGGGTCAAATGGGCGATAGGAGGGAGATGAGGTGACTTTTGAGTTGACTCAAAAGTCAACTCTTTGGCAGGAGGGGGACAAAATGCGTGATGGGAGGGAGATGGGGAGATGATTGCATTGGTGAACTGGAGGTAGGGAAGAAAGATGAGAGCGTTTGAGTGAGAGGGGTTAGTAGGAGACTAGTGTGAAGGCAAGCAGGGAAGGGGGTGGGTCGAGAGGGGTGATGTTGGATGGATTTTTGTGAGAATTCCTAAATAAGACGCTTGCCACAAGATGATGAAATTGAAGATTTCCACGTCAACGAGATGAATCTAATGGGGTGAGCTTTTAGTGATGAGACCTTTCGGCAAGCTATAATCGTTGGGACAGACAGCTTGAGGGGAAAAAGATGGAACTTTTGAATTTTCAACGTTCAACTCCTCTTCCTCCCCTCCAGTTCTCCTCCATCTTCGTTATCCTTATCCTATTTCTTCTCAACAAGGTCCCGCCTCTTTTTTTGATTGAACTTCCTCTAGCTTTCTTTCTCCTCTCCTCCTTCCCCCCCGGCTTATTCACCGCTTCTTCGTCCCTCGTTTTCCCAACAGGTTTCTACACCTCCCACTGAGCCTCTCGCCCCTTCCACTGACCTTCTCACCCCCTTTACGGAGGCTCCCACCCCCTTTACGTAGCCCCCCGCCCCTTCGGGGGCTCGGTAGAAGGGGCGGGAGGCTCGGTAAAGAGGGTGGGAGCCTCCGTAAAGGGGGTGGGAAGGTCAGTGAAAGCGGCGAGGGCTCAGTGGGAGGCGTAGAAATTTGTTGGGAAAACGAGGGACAAGGAAGCAGTGGATAAGCCGAGAGGGAGAGAGGAGAGGAGAAAGGGAGGTATAGGAAGTTCAATCAAAGGAAGGAATGGGATCTCGTTGAAAAGAAATATGATAAGGATAATGGAGATGGAGGAGAACTGGAGGGGAGGAAGAGGAATTGAGCGTCGAAAGTTTAAAAGTTCTCATCTTTTACCCCTCAAGCTGTCTTCCTTTGAAGTCCCCATTGCTCTAGCCTATGCTTCACCTTCTGGTACCCTGTTTGCCCACTTTCGAGGCCCGTAAATACAACTAGCATAATTTCATGGAGAAAATCAAGGCGAGAAGATAATCACCTTGATGAGCTCGAGGCATCGCAGAAGATCCCCCGGAGGACACGGCACGACCTGGGCAATTGGCGGAAGAGGGATGCAGATGAAGATGAGGATGAGATGAGCAGAGGAGACAATGAGGAGAATAGGAGAGAAACGGGAGAAGGAAGGGCGGAGAGGGGAACGAGATGGAGAGAAAGGGGGTACAATAAGGCATGAATGAGAGAAAAAGCACGCAGCACACACCCACACCAAACAAACCACATCACTGCACCTGACCAAACAGCGAGTGAGAAAGGGGGTACAATAAGGCATGATTGAGAGAAAAAGCATGCGGCACACACCCGCAACAAACAAACCACGTCACTACACCTGACAAACAACGAGTGCTGTTAAACAGACACAGCAGACACACCAGCAGCAAGCAAACAAGACTGGGCAAGGCCAAAGAGAATATGGAGCTGTTTTCAAGTAAGGCTCAGTAAGGCGAGAAGCAGAAAACAACTCAAACTGACAGAAAGAAAACAAGAGAATCTTCTCTATACTAATCTGAATGGAGCCAGCCAGCAGATTTTAGGAGGTGCCTCAAAGGAAAACGAACTTCATTGTGCCAGCAGGCGGGAAGGAAACGAACTGACAGCCTTACAGGAAAGAGAAGAAGTGACAGCTTACAGGAAAGCGAAGTGTCGCAAGTGTGAACGGTCATGTCATGACACCCTCACTCCCCACTTCCCCATTCCTCCTCCCCTCAACCACCCACTCCCCTTATGGCTGACACAGCTGAGAGTGAAAGCAAAGCGCACAAAGCAAAATTACCACACCACAGCAAAGCACTCACAGCAAAGCGCGCCCTGAGCTTGGACAGAGCCACCAGGCGCACCCCCCCCACTCCCTGAGCCTTCACACTGCCCTCCACATGGCCCCCTTCCACCTCCATTCCCTGCCCTGCTGCTGCTTGGGCGCCTGCAGACTGCAAGGGGGGAAGCGGGTGTAGAAGGGGGGTTGGGATGGGGTGAGGGGGGTCGGGATTTGGGTGAAAGGGGCGAAGGGGGAGAGAAGATGTGAGGGTTTGGAATTGAATGGGGTTGGGGGGTAGGAAAAGGGGGATATAAGAGTTTCGGTTGATGCAGGATATACTCAAGATTTGGAACAGTGAGAGATGGGAAGAAAGTGGGAGGGAAAGAGAGGAGAGGAGTGGCAAAGAATGAGGAGCAGAGGCAGAGAATGGGAGGTAGGAGGGGTGAAGGAGAGGGGAGAAAGAAGAACTGCAGGAGATGGGAGATAGGAGGGCTGAAGGATGAACAAAACGATAGGAGAAAGCTACAAGGAAGGCACGGTACGAGGGCATGGGTGACGCGACAGCACCTGAAGACAGCAGAGACCCACCTGAGTGGCACCTGAAGACAGCAGAGACCCACCTGAGAGGCACCTGAGGCAGCGCATGCCTCAACGAACGTATCTGCCAGGTGAGCCACGTCCACCTGGCGAGATAAACCAATCAGCAGCTGCCACGCACAGGGGTGGGTGGGGGGCGGGAAAACATTGGACGGGGGATGCAAGAAGAGAAGGGGGACGGGGGGAAGGGGGTGGTGGGAGGAGAAGGGGGTTGGGTTGGGGAGTAAAGGCGAAGTGAGTAAGGAGTGGAGTGGAGACGTGGAGGAGTGGGGGCGTCGAGAGGACCCATCCACACCTCGAACCCCACTGGACTCAGGGTGTGTTCACTGAGCCTAGCGATCCACGGCAGCGTTGAGTCACAAGGCCCGCTTGACTCGAGGGTGGTTTTCATTGAGCCTGGCAAGCTAGGGGGGGGAGGGGGGGGGGGGCTCACCATTGCAGCGGAGGTGAGGTGAGCTCACTGCTGCACCTGAGGAGGCTCACGACTGACTTGAGATTGAGAGAGGCCAGTTACCGCAACGACCCAATGTCACTCACTCGAGGGTTCACTTCACGCACGTCACTTGCCCTCACACTTCCATTCGTTCTTTCACCTCACCTCGACCCGTAGGGGTGACTCACCACCGAAGTAATACCTTGCCCCACATACTCTCCTCACGGCCGCTTTAAGCTCCCCTCATCTCGGCTCAGGGGGGCAACGCGACTCACCCCGTTGCAGATATAAACTCACCTGACCTCAGGGGAGCGACTTACCTGACCTCAAGGGAGCGACTTACCTGACCTCAGGGGAGCGACTCACCATTGCAGATTTTAACAGGCCCAGCTCGCGCCTGCGGAGCGGGGCGACTCACCACGACGCGAGGCGACTCACCACGACGCGGGGCGACTCACCACGACGCGGGGCGACTCACCACGACGCGGGGCGGCGTGGAGGAAGCAGAGAGTGCCCGCTTGGCCGCCAGCACGCTTGCCCGCTTGCTGTCCCGCAGCTGCGAGGGAGACGACAGGGGATGGTGGGGGGGGGGGGGAGGGGTTGGGAGGGAGGGGGGGAGAAGGGATGAATGGGGAGAAGGGATGAATGGGTAGAAGGGATGAATGGGGAGAAGGGATGAACGGGTAGAAGGGATGAACGGGTAGAAGGGATGAACGGGTAGAAGGGATGAACGGGTAGAAGGGATGAACGGGTAGAAGGGATGAACGGGTAGAAGGGATGAACGGGTAGAAGGGATGAACGCGTAGAAGGGATGAACGGGTAGAAGGGATGAACGGGTAGAAGGGATGAACGGGTAGAAGGGATGAACGGGTAGAAGGGATGAACAGGTAGAAGGGATGAACGGATAGAAGGGATGAACGGGTAGAAGGGATGAACGGGTAGAAGGGATGAACGGGTAGAAGGGATGAACGGGTAGAAGGGATGAACGGGTAGAAGGGATGAACGGGTAGAAGGGATGAACGGGTAGAAGGGATGAACGGGTAGAAGGGATGAACGGGTAGTGTTAGAAGAGAGAGAATTGATACATTGAATAATGAGCCAAGAGGCTCTTTAGTACAAACAATGAGCAAGAGAGAGATGAGAGGGAAGCTTACCCTATTGGCCAATAAGTTGGCCAATGGGTGAGCTTGCTTGTGACCCAAGCAACCACAAATGTGTGTTGGTTGGGATTGGTTGAGCTAAGGACCAATCCCAACCAACCACAAAATGTGGTTGGAGGGTACACTAAGCAACCCCCCAATTTATAAATGTGCTACACTTCTAGCCTATGTATGTTGTATGAAATATGAAATTACAGCAGGTAGAAGGGATGAACGGGTAGAAGGGATGAACGGGTAGAAGGGATGAACGGGTAGAAGGGGTGAACGGGTAGAAGGGATGAACGGATAGAAGGGATGAACAGATAGAAGGGATGAACGGATAGAAGGGATGAACGGATAGAAGGGATGAACGGATAGAAGGGATGAACGGATAGATAGAGCTCTCTTGGCCGCCAGCACGTCCGCCCGCTTGGGGAAGGGAGGGAGGGTTTAAGGGTAGCACATTGGCTTGTGACGATGGGGATGGAGGGACACGGAGAGAGGGGGGAAGGGGATCGATAGGAGAGGAGAAGAAGAATTGGCGACAGGAGCCCTAAACCCTGGATCTTGAGTATTAGTTGTGTAAAACCCAAGGTCAAAAATATGGTTTTCGTAAAAAACGGTCCGTTTTTTACAGTCCGTTTTTTACGGTAATTTTCCCAAAAAACGGCGTTTTTTTGTTAGAGAACTGTTGTCGCCAAGAAAAAAAGGGAAAAACAAGGTCGAATACATTTTCAATCATGCCCACAAGCGCACGCATGCAAGGAGGGGTTCGTCCTCTTCATGCTGGTGATTTTCGCCATCAATTTGGTCCCATAAATGGCCGATTTTTTCTTCAAACGAAACCACCTTCTGGACCCGTTTTTACCGTTTTTTACGGTCGTTTTTTACGGCCGTTTTTTACGGTAAATTTAAAAAAAAACGACGCTTTTTTTAACCTTGGTAAAACCCATTCACCAGCCAAAGACTTAAACCCTGAACCTTCGCGACACTCCTCTGGACGCAAAACTCCTCGCCTCGGGTTATCCCCGAGACTGCAACGAGCACAAGAAAAGCAACCAGCAAGTGGCTCCGCCCTTGATGCGCCACTGCCAGCGCCGCCAGGGGCTGCTGCTCCACCCCCTCATCTGCCCCCCTCATCTGCCCCCCTCATCTGCCCCCCTCATCTGCCCCCCTCATCTGCCCCCCTCATCTGCCCCCCTCATCTGCCCCCCTCATCTGCCCCCCTCATCTGCCCCCCTAGCCTGCCCCCCTGGCCTGCCCCCTTGCGAGCCTTAGCCTGCCCCCCTGGTGAGCCCTCCTCCCTCTTAGCCTGCCCCTGACCCATCTGGCCTGCTTCCCTGCTCTCCTGGCCTGCCCTGTTTCCTGGATACGAAACTCCAGCCATGCGAACTGCTGGTAACCCTATCGTACCAGCTTGTTGCGGTTGAGCCTCTCGGCCTTCGCGACGGCGCCATGGCCCTTCCCCTTGCCCTTCGCGCCCCCGCGCGCTGCCCCTGCTGCTCCGCCGTCTGACGCTGGGGGCGGAATATCGGGGGAAGAATTTGAGGGAAAGCATTTGGGGGGGAGCATTTGGGGGGAAGAATTTGAGGGAAAGCATTTGGGGGGGAGCGTTTGGGGGGAAGAATTTGGGGGGAAGAATTTGGGGGGAAGCATTTGGGGGAAGCATTTGGGGGGATCCAACACGTCCAGGTTGGAGGGCAAAACGCGGAAGAACGAACGGGTTTTCAACGGGTTGCAACAGGTTGCAGCAGCGCAACGTTGGCCAGGGAGGGAGCTGAGACGACTCAAAAGTTTTCGCTTGCAACAGCGCAACGTTGGCCAGGGAGCGAGTGGGTGTCGCGTGACGAGCGGTGCTAGAGGCTGGAAAAAAATCGACTGGTTACGCTGACGCTCGCGGTTTCGCACGCCGATTTCGTTATTGCGAGTAACGTCGTACGCGGCGCAGCGAGCGATGGCGATGCGGTGACGTCACAAGAGAGGCGCGGCGAGCGGACGAGCGATAGGAGCCCACCCTTGGTGACGCTTGAGTCAACTATTGAATGGACCGTTGAGGCGACTTAAATGCGAGCAACGAGCGGACGAGCGGTACTACGGGCGGCACTACGGGAGGCACTACGAGTGGCACTACGGGCGACACTACGGGCGACACTTCCGGCGGCACTACGGACGTACCCTTGGCGACCTTGTGCAACGCGCGTTGGCTCTTGGCACCGAAGCGCGACTTGTGCGCCTTGTTCTTCTGCGTCCTCGCGCCGCCGCCCGCCATGGCGTAATTGGTTCACGCTAGTTTAATTTATGCTGGCTCAATCCACGCTAGTTAGTTATAACAAGCTCGCCTGTAGCTGGATCTGCAGCTCTGCTTGTACCACGTCCGTGCAGAACGCGGTAGAAAGGAGCAAGGATCCGAACGATGTTGTCTGATAAGCCCTCGCCTCGGGTTTCGGGTTTTTGCTGTTCACTCTCAGAGGGTGGGTTGGTAGGATGTTAGGGCGTGTCATGCAACCAATGATTATATTAATTCTAGTAACTGTTACCAGAATATATCCTGTAACCACGTTAGAAATACGTAAAATCGGAATTTGCGATTCAACAATTTAGCCTGACACATTCGGGACGTGTCAGGGTTCGTGTGGCACACGTGCTTTGCACATGAGTTCAAAACGCAACATACTAATTTCGCGTCATCGATAGGCGTACCCGAGTCTCGAAATTCGTGAGGTGTTTTTTCGTGAATTATGGCAGTGTCTGAGTTGTTGGAAATCCGAATACGTTTCTGCAACGCTGGCACTATGCCTTTCTAGCATGAGTTACCCTGTCTTTGTGGGCGATGTGAACTAGTTGGCTAGAGAAGTTGGCGTGATCAGTCCTCTTTTGCCTCAGCACCAATTGCAAAACAAATTTCAGATATATGTGACTTTTGCAACCTTGCAGCACCCCTTGTTTTTTTGCGCGGCATACATTCCCCGACCAATGATCTGACGCCGGGAACGCGCTCGACGTGGTTCACATCAACCTCTGGGGGTTGTTTCGAGTGGCCACCAACGATGGGAGCCTCTACTTTCTTCTGCTGAATGACAGGAAGACTCGCTACGTGTGGGTAAGTCCGATCGTGAAGAAGAGCGATGTGCCGATCGTCTTCGAAAAGTGGTTGAAGGTGGTAGAGAGGAAGACGTCGAAGACGATGAACATGTTGCGTTCCGACCGCGGAGGGGAGTTCTTGGGTCGAGCCTTCACCGACCTCGTCGAAGACAAGAGCATCCTTCACAACCTAATGTGCCCCTATACTCCGTAGCAGAACAGGATGGCGGAGCGGGAGATTCGTACGGTCGTTGAGACCGTGCGGAAAATGCTGCTTCACATTGGCGTGAAGCACCACTGGTGGCACCTTGCTCTTCAACAGGCTGTCTGGGTGCGCAGCTGCCTTGAACGGGCGTCTCTGCCTTAGGGGACAATGCCGCACAAGCTGCTGTTCGATAAGAAACCGGACCTGACGCTGGCGCGCTTGTGGGGCTGCATGGTGCAGTCCATGGTCCCCAAGTAGCAGCGTGGTGGGAAAGGCCCGCTGGGGGCTTCATATAGGTGTGTCGCTGGAGAGCAAGGGCTGGGAGGTGCTCGACCTCACCGACAACAAGGTGGTGACGACCGTAGAAGCCATCTTCTACGAAACAATGTCGCTGGAGGTGTGGAAGGCGAAGTGGTGCCCAGTTTTGCGACGACGGATCCCTCGTCGACGACGACCCCTCTTCCCTCTACTCCTACTTCTACCTCCCCTCTACCTCTTGCCGCTAATCTGCCGAAGACGGCGTCGATGTCGGCCATCGGCGATAAGGGGAGCATTGTTGCGTCGCCTTCGGCGCCCGCCAGTGGCATCGCTAGCGGCCCGATGTGACGAAATGCACCTCGGCGGCCATGTGCAAAGCCGCCAACGGTAGAGGAGAAGTCAGCAAAGTAGGCAGAGACGAAATCTCCAGAGGAGTCGGCAGAGGATAAGGCGGCAAGGAAGTCGGCAGAGGAGTCGGCAGAGGCGAAGTCGGCAGGGGAGCCAAGTATCCGGGATCAGCTCGACGATGGCGCGTCGAGCGACGTCGTAGAGGTTCTTGGTGGCGAGGAAGGGGAGTTGTCGGCAGGGGAGCAGTCCGACGACAGCGACGTCGTGGAGGTCCCGATCAAAGAAGTGAAGCCGCGACGTGGTGTGAGGTCGACCGTTGCCTGCACTACCTCGCCCACCCCCGAGATGCCGCCCTGGAGTTCAGCGGCGGTCCAAAGTTGCGGTGTCTGGTTGGCTATACAGACGCCGACGACGCTGGTGACAAGCAGAACTGCAGCAGCACGAACGGCTACGTGTTCTTCCTCGGCAGGGCCGCCATCTCTTGGACGAGTCAGCGCATCAAATATAAGACGTTCTCGTCGACCGAGTCAGAGTACAAAGCGGCCACCGAAGCCGGCAAGTAGGTGCGCCGACTTCGCTTCCTCCTCGTCGAGGTCCAGATGCTCGACGCAGAGAAGTCGACCGTGCTGCACGTGGGCAGCCCGTCGGGCATCACGCTCGTAGAGGGCTTGGGGCTCAAGGTCAACCTCAAGCATATGGAGCAACGTTACGACTGGCTGCAGCAGATGGTGAAGCGCAGACAAATTTCTTTGCAATACATCCCGACCATGAGCAGCCGGCGGATTTCCTCACAAAGGCTCTGCATTTTCCGGCTTTCAACCGGTGCTCCGTCGCAGTCGGCCATGTTCGCCTTGCTGAAGTCGGCGACAACGACGTGCAGAAGTAGGTGCCATGTTCTGTCAGAACTATATTGTAGGCTCTAGTGGGGCACTCCTTATGGGGTACAGTATTGTTAGGTTTGGCCTATACAAACCTTGTACTGTCCTGTTTCTAGTCATTCCTTGATTCTTATTCTCATATGGTATTCTGAGCAGGTTCCCTAGTGGGACCGAATATTTTTTTCAAGGGCCCACCACGATTTTTTTTTTCCTGCCCTGCCCGTAGCGTGCTGCCGCGCCTTCCTACCCTATCGCGCGCCTCGCGCCTGCCTCACTTGCGCCTGCCTTGCCGACGCGACCCTCCCGTCGCGGCCCTGCCCGTCGCGGCCATGCCTACCCTGCTGCCCGTCACGGCCCTGCTTTACAGGCCGTCGCGGCCCTGCCCTGCCGCCCTTCGTCGCGGCCCTGCCCTGCTGCCCTACGTCGCGGCCCCTGACCTGCAGCCGCCGTCGCGGCTCCTAACCTGCCGCCCCATGTCGCGGCCCCTGCCCTGCAGCCGCTGCCGCGGCCCCCTACCCTGCAGCAGCCGCCGAGGCCCCGTGGCCTCCAGCGGCCGTCACCCCTACTACCGCCGTAGCGGCCCTGCTGCCGCCGTCGAGCCTGCAGCCGCCGGTGCAACCGCCGCCGTCGTCGCCGCTGAGGCCCCGCCGTCGCGGCCCTGCCCTGCCGCCTCGTCGCGGCCCTGCCCTACCGCCTCGTCGCGGCCCTGCCTGACGCGGCCCCGACCCTTCAGCCGCGTCGCAGCCCTGCCCTGCCGCCTCGTCGCGGCCCTCCTTGTCGCGGCCCCTGCCCTGCCGGCGCGCCACGGCCCTGCCCCACCAGTCGCGGCCTCTACCCTCCCCTCCTGCCACTGGTAAGCGCACCGCCGCATCCGCGCCGCCCTGCTGAGCCGCGCCGCCCTACCGAGCCGCGCCGCCCTGCCGAGCCGCGCCGCCCTGCCGAACCGCGCCGCCCTGCCGAGTCGCGCTGCTACTGCTGCTACTGCTGCTAGGCTACTGCTGCTGCTCCTGCTGTCATGGCTAGCCCTTATGTCCTTACCTTCGATGCTGAGGGTCGAGCAGTTGATTTCGAGTTCTGGATCGATGATCTGCAGCTTTTCCTGCAGTGCGACTCTAGGGACGGAGTCTCACTGTTCGATCACACGTCCGGCATCTCTGTTGCACCTGCTGCCGATGCTGACAGTGCAGTTCGCTCGCAGTGGGCCACGCACGATGCTGCTGCCCGTCTTGCTGTCCGTAGTCACCTGCCGTCTGCTGAGCGCGCGCACTTTAGCCAGTACAAGACTGCTCAGACTCTGTACGACGCCGTTGTTGCGCGCTACTCCTCCCCTGCCACTGCTGCCCTTAGCCGCCTCATGTTGCCGTACCCCTAACCTAGCCGCCTTTGCCTGCGCCAAGAACCCCCCCCCTATGTACATCACTCTCTACTACCTCGTCACCCGGCTCCCTGACTCCCTTCGCTCGGTCAGGGACCACATTCTCTCCCTTTGCCCCACCACGCTTACCGTTGACCTCCTCGAGGAGCGCCTCCTTGCAGCTGAGAAGAGTATAGTCGCTGTAGGAGCCTCTCGTGGTGACCCTCGTGCCCCTTTCTTTGAGGGGTGCTTCCCCGTCCCCCTTTTGCCCTCTGTTGCCTCTTCTGCTTCTGTGAAGCTCGTTGGCACCGAGTCGGTCGGTGCTGCATCTGCTCCTAGTGGGAGGCCCCGCAGCGGCAGGAGCAAGGGGGGCAAGGGTGCTGGAGGAGACGGCGGGGGCGGCGGTGGTGGCGGCGGAGGCGGCGGAGGGGTTGGGGGTGGAGGTGGGGGTGGTGGCGGGAGTGGGGCGTCAGTGGCAGTGGTGGAGGTGGAGGCGGCGGCGGCAGCGGTAGTGGGGGTGGCGGCGGCAGTGGTGCTGGTCGGGGTGGCGCTGTGCAGCGGGGAGGCTTTGGTGGTGGCCAGCACCACCAGCAGCAGCAGCAGCGTTCTCGTGAGACCCTATCGCCCCAGCAACTTCGTGAGTGGTACGCTGGGCGTGGGAGGTCTGGGGGTGCTGGTCCCTGTGCTTACGTTCTTCGCACCGGCGAGCGCAGTGGGGAGACGTGCGGAGGGCCGCACGCCATGCACCTCTGTTTCGGCCGCCTGACTGACGCCTGGCGTGCATAGTTTCCTGACGCCACCGAGATCCCGCGCTGGGGTGATCAGCTTAAGTCGGGGGTTGCTATCTTTGATCTTGATTATGATGCTATCCTTGCTGTTATGTATGCTGTGACTATTAGTGCTAAGGGTGACTGTTACTTGTGTGTTCCGCCTGACCTGGGCATTGAGGCTGCTGCTTCAGGTGCTAGTGAGTCTGCTGCTCCAGGTGCTGGTGAGTCTGCTCTCTCAGGTACCGCGTCGGCTCAGGTCTTACACACTTTCACCCTTGACTCGGGTGCCTCCCGCTCCTTCTTTCGCGAGTGCACCACACTCTCGCCGCTCAGTCGGCCAGTGGCAATCTCTCTGGCTGACCCCTCTGGGGGTCC